AAATGTCATTTGGACATTTTTTTAAACTAACCGTTCGCCCAGATCCCGATTTTCCTGCATTCAAGTCTTTAAATATTCACTCTGCATCTCAAAAAGTATATTATATCATAATAAACTGTAATTAGCTTGAAAATATTCCGAATAAACTCAAGATAAACAAACAAACGTCAAATTTTCCACGGTCGCCATATTGAAAAATCACGTGGTTTGAAGAGCCTAATAAACAAAATCACAATATTTACATTAGAACAGCTGATTGTCTGATCCGATTAGATTGACTAGATTGACAGGGCTCCAAATAAGGTCCCATGCCCCAACTACCATCAAAATTCCTCAGAACGCTTCACCTTGGAGTTTTGACAGAACCTTATTAAAGGACATTGAAGGGACAAGCAGAGGTCATTCCGGTCGAGGACTTTCCACGATTAAGTGTTCGGGAAAATTCCTCAGGCACATTTTGCCGATTTCTGAGTTGTCCAGTTTTCGCTCATAGATCTAGGGTGGCTAATCCGTTATTTTAGCACCAAAGCGCCTTGCGCGGATTTCTTTGTGAGCAGAAAAAGAGCAACGTGACCAATTGTTTGTTCCTAAAGGCCAAAGTATTTTGGTAAGTGGTTTTTCTTATTCGCCTTCTCTGAGTTCCTCTATTGCCTATGGAAAAGCATAGTTTTCTGTCAATTATATGGTTAAATTCCGAATAATGGACATGCCTACCTATCGATCCACGCCCAGTCTCATAACGTCTATTTGTTTCAGGCCTTATTTATCCGTCACGCTTTAGTCCCTAACGTGAATACAGAATTAAACATTAAGCTTACTGTATACCTCAAGTCGTACCTCCTATCTCTTCAGCCTCCGATAGACAATTGGAAGCTTTAGTAAATTGTGGTTACTGACCTTCAGTACCCAGGGCCAGTTGCTTCTTGTCGCAACCCTAATCCAGTCCCAGAGGCCATCGGAAACACTGGAAGATATCAATCCAATCCTTTAGGTTCGCCTCAAGGGATTAGAGACTACTCAGGTTTGATAAGTGTGTTGTATTGTCTCAATGGCCGCGTTCACCAGATACAAACGTTGGTAAACAGTTTGCGATTGTTCTGCTGAACGCTACGTTGAATTTGTGTTAAAACCAAACATGTTTTGCAAACGGTCGCCATTTTTGCAAGCATAATTTCAGAGTGTTTATAATTTTCAACACTGTGTTTTGTGTGGTGACCTGTCATTCAGAAGGTGACGTTCTATCATTGAAAAGTTGAATCGTCCAGCAGAACCAAGAGTTTACTCAACATATTCTGTTGGTATTTGTAAACTGTTTACAATCTGTTTTGGTTCTGGTGAACGTAGCCAATATCTGGAACCTATCAAACCTTACCAACCCCTTGTTGGAATAAATCACCACAGCAACGCAGTTTTCTACTACAATATCAAAGCCCTCCAGGTTTTTGTTATTTCAATTTTAATTAATTATCTATATTACCTATATTATATGGAACTTGCCCGTCAGGTTATGTATTGTTACTTCAATTTTAATTATTTATTTATATTACCTATATTATTCCATAATATTAAATTCGCCCTTCAGGTTTCGTATTGTCACTTCAACTTTAATAAATAATGATCTATATCTCTCTAATATCCCATAAATACATTCCTCACTGAATACAGGAAAATACTTGTACACTGGGGTTAAATGGCCATTTACGAAGGTACTGCATTTAGTAAGTTTGTCTATTAGTTTACATTTCAGGTATTATTGCTTTTATAAGTGTTATACAATACTTTTTATTTCTTTATTTACGGACACACGTTGAGTTAATTTATTGTAAATATTATTTTTAGAACATAAGGTTAGGTACTCCTAGTCGATTTATTTTGTTATTGTTCTGGTTCTAGTGTTAATAATTTTCAGTGTTCCACGGCGTTCGGAAAACCCACTCCGAATCTGCTCTAGAGTCAAACCTGTTCTGGTTCTAATTAAAAACCCGTACCTGATTGTAGCAAAGCGTTTCACTTCTGTCCTTCCTTCTTGTTTACTTTTATATTTCAGCTTGTTCCGTAGAAGTTTTCTGCTTTCGTTATATTCGTTGACTTCATTGAAATTTCCTAGATTCCATCGCTTTGAACACCGTTTGCGGAAAAAATCGTATGTTTTATTCGGAGAAAAATACTTTTCGTGGCTCGTCTAAAATTGTCAAACATTTAGTCTCGCCACAAAAAGTATCACTTTTACTCCTAATAAAACAATATACTATTAGATCAAAATGTATGGTCCCACTTTTTATATTTATATTGCTACGATAAATTTATCATTTACGTATTATGTTCCATCTCTTCTTATTTTCATTATAAAGTTGTATTTTCACCATTTCAGAATCAGCAGAATAATAATTAATAATCTAAGTAATCTAAAAATATCCACAAAGTTCGATATAATACCAGTACTGCCATCTATCCATCATGTGCATAAAATGCAAATACCTATTATTAAATGAAGGTACTGCTATTTAGTACCCGATGGATTTATTTTTCAGTGTGATTTTGATTATTTCGCATTTGACAATCATGTATGTATTGTGTGTATCATGTATTTTCATTTAAATAAATTATATTTATCTCACTTTTAGCAAATGGATATATTTCTGTCTTTCTCTAACTTCTGATTCTGAAATAATATTTTTTTGGCCTAATGACCTAATTAATTAGCAGTTTTTTGTTTTTGACATAACTTTAATTTAAATTATTATAATTTGTAAACAATTAAAATAATTCCACGTGGTTATTCATTGTGATGTCATTGTAAAGTGAATATGGTCTTTTGGGTTTACTCTCCTGATTGGTTGAACTGGTTAAAACGCAGTTAAGTATAAAAAACACAGGATTGTTTTCCTGTGGGGTTTGGTTTCTAAAGTCATTTTTATTTTTATACTTTTACCTTCAAATTTTTGGTTCTCCCTTATAAATTTTTCAATATATTTTGCTATCAGTGCATATTATCATATCATTGTTAAGTTTTTACCTGATAAATCTTATCTATTCTTGAAATATAAATATTATATTTTAATTTTTTATCTAATTGTGGCCCTCTATTTTGTGCGATTGCCGGTGGTTCCACGTTTTTCTGAGGTAAGTCAATTCAGATTTTTGGGCTAATAAATAGGTACTGCTGCTCTGGTTTTCAAAATAAATTGTTAGTGTGGAAATATTGGACCTCTAAATAGAGACGTTGAAAACCAAATTTGTGTGTCCATCCCTATCAACTCTTTATTGAATCCAGGCAGAGGCCTGTATTGCCATTTTCTGTTTGAGAAATGAGAAGGGTGTAATTCTTTGGAATGGAAATCCAGATAGTTCAAGAATTCATTTAAAAAGTTTTAATCAAAACATCTCAAGAATTTTGACAGATTCTGGATTTGATTGATTTCACCGTCAGGTTTATCTTGTAGTATCTGTAGTAGTTACCTTAATTTAAAAGGAAAATTTTGTCTATTTGGGGGAGAATCTAAAGAACATGTGGCTCTCAGAATATTAGCTTCACCCAAGCTCTGTTTTAAATATAATGATGAATGAAAATTTTGATAGTTTTTATGGTGAAGAATTTATCAATCATGACATTCACAATCTTGTTCATCTACCTGGAGACGTCCTAAAATTTGGGGCTTTAGATTGCTTTAGTTGTCTTAAATTCGAAAATTACATGCACATTATCAAAAAATCGATTTTTCAATCCAAAAATCCTTTAGAGCAATTTGTTAATAAGAGTTTATCAACACAGGGCACATTTTAAAGTTGAAAACAAAAATTCAGAGAAAATAGAATTAATAAAATCCATTCGGTTCGAAACAATCAATGAACAGATGGTCCAGACTTAATTATGTTCAAGCAAATTTAAATAATTTGTGTATAAAAGTAACGGAGCCTAATTGTTTTGTAGTACTAAAGAGTGGGGTCCCTGTCAAGATAACGTCAATTTTTGTAAATTCAAAAGGCATTTCATACATACAATATAAAGAGTTCTTGAATTTCAAACCAATGTATAAAGAACCATGTTCCTCCACTATGTTTAACTGCGGCTTAGTTGGTAATTTGGATACTACATTGAAAGTAACTCCTATAACTGACATATGTTGCAAATCCATGAAAATGAAAACATTTTGCATTTCACTTATTTAATTTTCAACAAAAAAAATTATTCAAAGTTAACATAAGCATAACATTTAATTCGACATTTCTACTTCAGTTTAAAATATAAAAAATCTAAATATTAAGTTATTAAATTCACATGTTTTTTTCTTTGTAATGTTTTGAAAAATTTTCAAACAAAATAAATAGATGAACAAATATAAAATATTCTCCTGGGTTAATATTTTCACTTTATATCTAGGAGCTTAAGTATATTTTTAATATTGTATATAACATGTATATATCAACTATCAATATGCCATTTGTCTCCATTTAATCGTTTTGGAGCAAATTAGTGTTCAGATATTGACTTTTTGCGTTTGCGTCGAGCACGCCGTTACCAATTCAATATTAGAAATCCCATAAGTTCCTTTATATCCGCCGTCGGCGTCACCGTTTGCGTCAGGGTTTCATCATCATTTCAATTCCGTTTCGAAAAACCAAATTTTATATTTTGCGTCGCCGACTCGTAGCAACCTTCGTAGCAGATTTGAAGGAGCCAATCAAAACAGATTTTCACCTGTCAGTGACCTTTACGTCAGGTCATTGTGGGGGGAAAGCAGCTGATTTTAGTTTAATTTGGAATTTCCAAATATTTCATATTTTCATTGTGCTTGCCACGTGAAGCGTCTCCGAATTTTCTGATTATGTTTTTTTAGTGTTTTTGTCGCTATTTTGTTATTTTGGATTGTTATTTGTTATTGTGTTATGGTATTTTTTGTTATCGGATTGTTATTTCTCTGATTTTGCGTTTTTTTATTTCTTGTTTTGGAACGTGAGTGTTTTTGAGTGAGCCGTTGTAGCAGTCAGTACCTGCGGAAATGGATACCCAAAGTAGTAACGAAGAGCCTGAAAGTCAGCTTTCGCAACGTGGTAAGAAAGATATTTTTTTTACGTGTTTTTCTAAAAGTTCTGATGTTTCCTTGAAGGCGCTCGGCCAAAATCAAGGATGGCCCTCGGCCTCCTTATTGAGGCAGTTCAACAGTACCCCTATTTATATGACTTGTCTCACAAGGTGTACAAGGATGCCAAGAAGAAGCAGTTAGCCTGGCAGCAAATAGCTAATTTGCTAAAATGTAGTGGTATGTATTTTTTGACTTATATTTGATGTTTGATGTTGCAGTGAAGATTGCTTTTTTAATCAATTAATTGACTATTTTAGTTGACGATTGTATGAAGGCCTGGAAGAATGCGAGAGATAGATTTGTAAAAGAGAAGATCAGTGTGGGTGTTTCTGGGGCTGAAGCATGGAAATTGAACTGGCCCTATTACAATGACATGCTTTTTTACACAACGTTCACTAGAACTAGGAAGTGAGTATATACCTTCCTTCATATGCATTGTGATGCAGGCCTTTTTATTCAATATTTTCTCAAATTTATATTCTATTTACCTGCTCCTACAGATGGTCAAATCTAAGCAAAACTTTTTTTTTTGACCTGTCTTGTCTCTCCAAGAAAAGTGGTTTAGGGTACCTGCGTTTTGTATTGACATCATTAGGTGAGGTATCAGGTCTTCAAAAAAAAAAAACAATCGAAGATTGCTTGCTATGGTTTTTTAAATGTATGTCTTAGCAATATTTTTCTTTAATTTTGTCAATGAACTTTAATGTTAAAATATAATGCAAAAATCCCAACCAATAAAGAAACAATAATGCGACGTACATTTTCGTAATCAAAGCAATTTTTCATTATTTTGTTTTTTTTTGAAGACCCGTTATACAGGGTGATGTTCATTTTAAAACTTACCACCCCTATAATCTCGGAGTTGAAAAATTTTCGAAAAAATCCTTGAAACACATCAACTATAATTTGAGGAGGGAACTAGGGATTAACAGTTAGTACCAAAATAGATGGAATTGAAAACCCTCCAAAATTATGTATCATTTGATACACTTCCCATTTAAGATTTTCTAGGGGGTGGAAATGGGGGCTGAAAGGTTGAAAGGGAGGAAGTGAATTTTGCATAAAAACTGATCCCCTCTTAAATTATAGTTGACGTGTTTCAGGAATTTTTTCGAAAGTTTTTCAACTCTGAGATAATAGGGGTGCTAAGTTTTGACATGAACACCCTGTAGAGAAAACCTTAAAGTGAAAACAAGTTGACCTTGTTATTTTGTCGTCACAGCATCTCATTTTCATTCAATAATTTTGGCTTTATTTGCATATAGCACCTACACAGCTACAGCTAGGAAGGTTGCTAGTCAAAGTCAACGTAGTCAGCTGACAGGTCGACAATCCAGACCTTCCACTAGATCCTCTAGTTCAGTGTGGAGCGCCATCCTCATGGGTGCATTGACGTCTCCTGAACCAGAGAACCAGGATGAAAATGTACCTCCAAGCAACATCTTGTAGCAATTAAGCTACTTTGTCATTTTATTATTATTTTAAGTATGTATATTTTTTATATTTCAGGTGTTTTTAATTGTAATCACTGGTTTTGCTGTATATATTAATTATTGTAATGCATTTAAGGCAAGCATACCTATTTCCATTTAAATTTAGGTTTAGATTGCAATTAGGAGTGAACCTGACTTTAGTACTGCTTCCATTTAAGTGGCCCCAGCCCATCTCTATTTATTGACTTTCGCCCAGCCCTATATCCTTTCAATGCCATCTTCGGCTAACTTAATTCTAATTGGGATTGCACACGACCTTACTTTAGGACGATTGACTCTTTCCTGGTGGCTCGATTGGAAGAGTCCACGTCAGTGACGTGAGCGAGCCTTTTTGTTTTTGGCCAACGTGCTAAATTTTCTCGAAAGTTCCTTAAAGGAGTGAATCCCTCAATTTCTTTCTCTGTGGTGCGGAGTGCCATTTATGGCTAATTAAAGTAGTTTGTTCGTTCACTCGGCCACTTTTTATTTGTGATTTTATTGGAACATGCCAGGTATGTGACAAATTCTATTATATCTTGAACATCCCTTAAGTTTATAATTATTTCTCCAGCCTATCTTGATTTGCAACCTCCTCTGGTGATGCCAGTGCCTATATCGCGTACCAAATCATGGTTAGGAACCTCTTATTTAGGGTGAGCCATGTAATTTTGTGTTTTATTATAAACTCAATCAGTAGAGAAGCTTTTTGTCCATTTAATCTTTCTTTTAATAAAAAAGAGACCATTAGTAATTGAATTTTCTGATAGGGTCCTACCGAGGGTCCTACTCCTAGTCCTACGCCTACCTCTACATCTAGGCCTAGTTTTGGGCTCGTTCATTAAGCACGGCATGCTTCCCTGAGGTTCCTGTGTCCTTACTCATGGCGTCATTTACATGGTCTTTGATGGATAGTGCCTATCTTCCCTGATGACTCCTCGACATGGAAGTAGTATCTACAGGTTTCTTTATGTTTAACTTTTACCTTGTATCTCATATTTTTTATTGAGCATTCCCTAATAAATGGAATGACTCATTTCTTTGTTCAGTTTGGTGTCCGGTTGAACATACGAGTTTTAAGGGTAGATAGACCAGTAAAGGGTGACAAATTAATAAAATGATCGATCATTATTATTTTAAAGAATAATATTTAATTTTTGGGTGATACTGGGTTGAAATCGCATTATTTTTACATTTATGATTTTCATTACATTAACATACTAGTTTTTATAATTTTTCAATAAACTTCAGTGGCGGCTCACCAGAGTAGGCCCGTAAATATTAATGTTATTTTCAATAATTTTGAGTCACAAACATATAAGCAGCTTTTTCAACTTGCAAGCAAATAGAAAAAAATAGTTCCACCATAAAAGATGCTTTTAAAATTCAAGAATCATTTTCAGTAAAATTATTTAATGAGGATGTCAGAAAAAACAGAAAATTATTAAGCTATCTTAAAGATGTAACGAGTTTTTTGGCAAAGCAAGAGCTATCTTTCAGAGGCCACGATGAGACATTTGATTCATTTAATTCTGGAAATTTTCGAGAGGTTTTTAATTTAATTACAAAAAGGGATTTGGAGATGCAGGAACATTTGAAAAAAATTGGAAATATATTTTCTGGATTATCTAAGACCATTCAAAATGATTTAATTAATTGTATTTCGGAGCATGTTAGAGAAACAATAAATAAGGAAATAAGCGAAGCTCTATTTTTAGCAGTACAGGCAGATGATACTACAGACATAATGGAAAAATCACAGTGCGCTATTTCTGTTAGATATGTTTCCAAAAATGGTGAAATTAGAGAACGATTTCTAGGATTTCACGACGTGAGCGCCGATAGAACTGCAGATGCATTGTATAACTTAATCACGGGAATTTTAACTCCATTTGACTATAAAAATAAATTAGTCGGCCTATGATGGAGCTAGCGTAATGGTAGGATCTTTAAATAGTTTGCAGAAGAAAATAAAGGATGACGCACCCATGGCATTATTCACTTATTGTAGTGCACACAGGCTAAATCTAGTCCTGCAAAATCGCATGAAACATATAAAAAATTGTCGTATTTTTTTCGCTACTGCAACATCAATCCCTAACTTTTTCCATCAATCAGCAAAACGCACGTTTGTTCTCGACTCCATAGTAGGAAGAAGGATTCCGTCTTCTCGTAATACTAGATGGTCATCAAGATCTAAAATAATTCATATCTTGGATTTTGAGCGGAATGGCCTGAAAATTGTGTTCAAAAATATTATTGACGATAAATCATCGGCAGCAGAGTCCATAAATGGAGCAAGTGGATACTTGAGATACACTGGCCAGCAAAATTAACGCACCACTACTATTTTTGAAAAATATTTTTTATTTCATAATATTGATCAAATATTTTTATGTGTTGATTAAATATATTCTTATTCTAACTTAATAAGGGTATTAACAAAAGATAAAATTCCAAAGAAAAAAAAAACAAAAAAATTCAAAAATAATTTTTCTTTTTAACTTTAGTTAAAAATAATTAATAACCGGTATTTCCTCCTCTATTTTGAATAATAGCACGGCAGCGATTATTCATGTTAAAATTACGGGCCTTATCTCGTTTTGACCCAAATTATTCCATATTTGTCAATATCTCCAGTAAGCCCATTCAAAGTGTTAGGAGGGTTAGGAAGCTCCTAAAAATTGGTATAGATCATGTCCCAGACATCCTCAATTGGGTTAAAATCAGAACTGTTTGCTAGCCAATTCATAATTTCAATTCCAACCTCATTAAAATAGAAATAAGTAGGGTTGTGATTTCGACCGGTCAAAATTTTTTGTGGTCAATTGACCAGTCAATTGACCGGTCAATTGACTAAGGACCGGTCAAATTCTTGAGTATTGTCTAACGAAATGAAGGCATTATTAACTGCATATAAACGTGTATTTATTGGAAAAGAGCTAAAAAACAAATGAAGAAATTATTCTGGCACACAAAAGAGAAAAAAATGAAAATGCATAATGTTAATTTAATTAACAATAGCTAAATGACCCAAAAATGAAAATAAATAAATCCTTCTAAGGAAGAGAATAAACAAATATTCAAAACATAATGGTATTCTTGATCCAGAAATAAACCTAGAAATAAACAGTGCACAACTAATGACTGGCCAATGACGTCAATGTAGATAACGGCACATTATCCTCGTCACTGAACCCATCGTCTTCATGTTCTGCAGAATCGGCAGAATCGCCAATTTCATCTTCACTACTGAAATTGAGTGCCATCTCCTCCGGATTTCCACGTTTTTTATCTCCACCTCCACTCAACAGCTTCAAGTTGTACTTTATATAAACAAGCTTTCCAGAGCGGGTAGTTTTCAATCGGTTGCGGAGCTTACTATGGACAATGCCCCATGCGGACCAATTTCTCTCGCAAGAGGCTGCAGAAGGTGGCATACTCAACAACCTCACAGCGACATCTTTTAGTGAGCAATTCGGAAGCCAATTCTTCCACCATGTAACAGGCGTAACATGGGATGAATTTTTACATATAGAAGTAACACCCTTTGATGCGACCCAAATAATTGGTTTATCAAATACATTTTGACGTGTTCGGTAGTTGGTAATTTCCCCTATAACTTTGACATGGTCATCTTCTGAGGAAAGCTCAACTAAGAGAGCAATAGCGCGTTCAAGTTCCTCATGCGTCAAGTTTTCCCCTCTGTATCGTGGATCCAGCAGATAGGCCGCATTATGAGTGTCTGTACAGATCATTTCAATCCGTTTTTCAAAATTGTTCATAAGAGATGTTTCTTCGGCAATCAAAAACGGACTTTCCGACATTTGAGCAAAAAATGCATCTTTCAACTTATACACCTTGTGTCTCACGTCCGACAAAGTAGCATTTGTATTTTCCATGAACGTAATCAGGTTTACCACAGGGGAGAGCAGTTTTAAGAATTTCTCGTTCCGATCCCAGAAGACATCATCGGATAAAATTGAACTCTTGATTTTGGCAGGTGCAATGATCTCCACATCAAGGTTTATGATTGACTCTCTTAGCGATTGTTTGTTGACCTGAATGCTGTCCATACAAGCCACTGTACTTCCCCATCTTGTTTCTACAGGCATTTTCAACGATTTGCTGTTACCACATTGCTTCTCTTGCAGAACGGCATTTGGCACATGTTTTAGTTTAAAGAACTTCACTATTTGTTTACAACTGGCGACATGATCCTGAAGCGTCTTGAAGGACTCCATGTCCTTCATTAGCAAATTAAGCGTATGAGAGGTACATCCCATACATTGAAGACGTGGGTACCTCATCTTTAGTTCAGTCCAAGCTGCTCTCATGTTAGCCGCGTTATCTGTAACAACGGCGGTGATCTTGCTTTCACCTATCTCTTCAATAATTCTGCTGAGCTCTGAAGCAATATATGTCCCAGTGTGCTTTTGTGCTTTTGGCAACGAGAAGTCATAAAATAGGTCTCCTTTACTTGTGTGAACCATGTAGTTAATAATACCTTCATTTCGGATGTTCGACCAACCGTCACTCATGATCGAAACCATCGTTTCGCCGTCAATTTGTGATTTTACTTGGGCTTTTATTTTTTCATAGAACATATCTAGATGAGTAGTTGACATCTGTTTTCTACTAGGAACTTTCAAAGTCGGCCTGCATAAGTCGAAGAACTTTTTCCAATGTTCGCTTTCGAACATGGAGAGGGCACAATTTGACGAATATACTGCATTACAGAAATATTCGGTCAATTCCGACTGTTGGTCTGGGTTTATATGATCAAAAAAATTATTCAGTTTTTGATTCTTCAATTTTCTTTGTCCTGATGAGCCAGCAATAGCTTCACCAAATGGATTGGATCGCTTTTTCTTGATATGCTCTCCAACAACTATTATTGGTTCTTCTTCATCATGATCTCTGTCGCTATCGCTGTCGCTACCTTCTTCATCATGACGGGCCACCTAAAAGATACACATTTATTTAGTATAATATCAATTTTTATTAGGTAGAATGTTCAATTAACGAAGGACTCACATTTTTGTATTTTTGTTTGTCGCTTTCGGGGATTCTCTTGCACTGTTTCAGAATGTGCCTCTGCATTCTATCAACATGTGTGACATATGTAGCCTTACAGTAATTACATATTCCTTTCACCTTGTTTTCCTCTCTAATTTCAGTGAAACAATCCCATATTTTGTGTCGCGGTTTCGTCACCTTCTGTCTGGAGCTCATATTGAAGATTAGCACTCTAGGAGCGGTTACTTTCAAGAACTCTGAAAGTTCAAATAGCAATTATAGCTTCTTACATGTATAAGTAAGCGAATATAATAATTTTTTTTATAGTTCAATAGCCTGTTGGTCAGTAATGACAGTAATACAAGTTTAAAATTATTACTTACCTACCTGGAAATTAGCTCAAAAGAATGCACCTCAAAAGTGCCACAGTTGTACGAGTTTTCAAAAATCCAAGTTAAAAACAAAAGCACGCACAATCAAATCACGTTAAAACACCAACTAATACGTCTGAACAAGTCGACGCATGTCTCTTGTGAACGTTGTAGTACGCTAGCGCCGCGGCTTAGGCAAGATGCGAACTAATAGAATTTGACCGATTTTGACCTGGTCAAAATCTCTTTGGTCAAAATCGGTCAAAATCTTGGTCAATTGACCGCGGTCAATTGACCAGGCACAACCCTAGAAATAAGTAAGTGGTGCGTTAACTTTGCTGACCAGTGTATTTGAACGATTTAGAGTTTGCATTTTTAACGACCGTTTTCAAAAATATTTTCAATATCACTGATTTCCTATTTGATGTATTACAAAAGAAGACGCTTGATCTTTGTTACTGTCAAAAGCAAGTATTTTTATCCAAAAATCGCGTAAAGTTATTGAGAAATTAATCAAATTTCAATACGTTTTTCGAAATTGCTGAAAATAAAGTATCTTCAGATTCTTCATATTCGTCAGAACTTCAAACACTGTCTAAAAAAACCAAAGGGTCCGATGCTGTAAAAGATGATAAAAAAAACATCGCTGAGTGTTCTTTTTTTCGAAATTATTGATAGTATTGCTTCACAGATAGAAGTAAGGTTTGCAGATTTGTCACATATGTCATTTATTTCTCTGGCTGACTCTTCCAAATTTAAGGAATTTCGAAAAAAAAAAATCCAACTGATTTACTAACATCATTAATAAGTTTTTACAAAAATATTTTTGATAAGCAAAGATTGGCCAATGAATTAGAGGTTATATACCATGATGAGCAATTTGAAAGTCTAAGCGTAGAAGCAATTTTAAAAGTTTTTGTATACAATGATTCATGAGACATTTTTCCAGAAGCATATAAGCTTTTTATTCCTAATCGCTACTAGCTACAAGTACTTCGAATGAAAGACAATTTTCATGTCTAAAGCGAATTAAAACTCACTCAAGAAATTCCATGAAAAATGATCGTTTATCTTCTCTTGCAGTTATGGCAATTGAAAAGGAACTTTTTTGTGGACTTCAGAAACTGGATAATTTTACAGACATCATAATAAATAAATTTTCACTGCTGAAAGAAAGACGTGTTAATCTTATTTATAAAAATAAATAAAAATAAATATATAACTATCTTTAATAGTTTCATTTAATTCTGATGAACGCCAAGCTTAAGGAATCTTGATAATGATATCGCAAATAATCAAAATTTCTAACACTCCAGGTATTCTTTCGATCTGAACAAACTGATCGAAGTCACTCGAGGTTTGGCTTGGCCCTAATTGTTTTTTTAACGTTTCATAAACTAAATCTCATGTGATTGCAATCAGTTTGTTCAGATCGAAAGAATACCTGGATTGTTGGACTACCAGTCCAATAAAATCTATGACATTCAATAATTGCCGTGTCATGTAGAAACCACTCAAGCTTAGCATCAATTTCACAAGCTTTGAAGGCTTGAAATAAACGTTTTTGGGCGTGGCACCCGGAAAGAAAATTTCTCCTGCGGCGGGCTTCTCCGCCTATGCATTTTATTCTAATACTGGCGCCTCCTCACATGTTCGCCACCTCCGCCTACCCAAATAATTCCACCATGAGCCACCACTGGCAGCAAGACCAAATTTCAGAAGGTATAAGGCAGCTAAATATTAACATACAACCACTGATTTGTACATTGTTTTTTAGATGGTAGGAATGCAGTAATTCTGCATTTGCTACACGGTGTTCTAGTTCCTACATCAAAACAGTTTCACAAAGTGGGAGATAAAAAATCACTTCAGAAGTTCACAATAAATGACTAACAAGAATCGTTCATTTTAACTGGAACCAACATAAATCAGATTGAACAAAAACTAATTGAAAAAAAAAATAGAAATATCCCCATTAAACAATTATTAGTAATTATTGTGGATGATGTCATTCACAGACCAAAACAAATAATGGTGTTTTTTGATAACATAAAGTACGTATTTTAGGCCGAGGTTACCTAGCTCCTCTATTCTTAATTCTTAATCCTTAAAAACACCAACGTTAAATAAATTGAACTTTTTAAGAATTAAGAATTAGGGACAAATATTAAGAATTAAGGAATTGGGTAACTCCGACCTTACTCTGTCGTATCTGCACTGAACAGCTGTCTACAAATTATCCATGTTTTTGACTTAAAATATCCACTGCAGTCACTTGCTGTATGGCAATTTATTCAAACTTATTTTTACAAAATAAAAACAAAACATGACGTTGTTTTGCCTAGTCTTACAGTGTTTGTTAACAACTTAGAAAAAAAGATGACCGGCCAGCTTTAGGGTTAACTGGTTCTAATGTGAGGTAATTGATCAGAACTCTTTTTTTAATTTCTAAGCATGTACTTTTTGTTGAAAAAAAAATAGTTATTGCAGGTGTTTCAGAAATATAAATTTAATTGTTTTTTTACTTTAAGAAGGTGCATAGTCTCATACACAGTTTTAGTTTAGTCTTACAATGTTTGTTGACAATTTGGATTGACAATAGAATTTTTGATTTTGATAAGATTGATTCATTTAAGAATATAGGCACTTTTTGTTATAATTTTGCTGATAATGTGTGACACTATACAGAATTTTCTGCATAGAAATAATGAAAAAATTTGTTATTCGTCAACAGTAGCAAACTTTAAGAATAACAGAACTTTAATACATCCAACAAAAAATTTACACAGAATTGATAAATCAACTGTTATTAGCACTATAAAACCAACTGTAGGTTGTACAAAAATTTCTGTTGAATAAACAAGCATTTACAAAAATGTTTGTTGTGTGTTAACAATAACACACTCTAACCTTAATAAAATGTTGGTATATTTAACAAGATATGGCGTAGTCCTATCAATACAACTCATGTCGAAACTATACATATAAGTAAATATCAGTTTTACGAAAAATCTGTTAGTATAACAGGCAGTAATTTAATATTTTGATTGAAAAAACTTTGATTATTAATTTAACGGAAACTTCTGTCGGACAAATAGAGGCCAAAATTTTGTTAAATCAACATATATTTTTTGTCTTATATACTACAAATTTTTCTGGGTTTAATATTTCAGATTTTATTTTGAGGTCTATTTCGAAGTTTGAGACCTTATAAACAAAAACTTCGTGACGCCCTTAGTGAACACCCCTTACGCACGACCATAAATGCTTTCCGATGTACAGCTGCCGTAAGCAATAGCACCTTTTCAATCCAAACTAATTAAAAACGTTACACGCTTCAAAATGACAGCTTCAGAGAAGATAACGTTCTGTCATTTATTTACTTTATTTATTGGAGACTTAGTGCCCGGGAAAGACCCTGGTTGGAAATTTTTGGGAATACTTTTTGATATTATGGATGCCTCATTTTTGGGCACAATTCATAATTTAACACTAATAACACTGCAGAGCCTGGTAACTCAACACACAAAACCGAAAATATTTATGATTTCATAGATATAAATTCTGATGGTGTTTCATTTCCTACGAGGGTGGTGTCACACGGGTATTATAATCGTGGTATACCGGTCCAAAGAGTACCCACCATTAGGTGATCTTCTACTGCTCAATCTTCGATTGTAGCATTGCAAGAGTACTATGACGCAGTGTTTCCCGGTGCTTCCCTTGAACCAACAACACTTGACCAATCAAAAATGGAGAACAGCGATTTAAATTTAATACTGGAAGACATAATTTTTGATTCCTCTAAACTATTTGAAACTCATAAACCCGACGATGACACTTTGAAACCTTCGTTGCGCACTGGTATGCCTGCTGTCCGTGCGTCGACTCTAAAGGAACATTTACTTGCCTTAAAAAAAAGAAATCTCTCGGCACCGACCTTGCAAGGGGTCGTTGATTACCCAAAGAATGCACAGGATATGGTTGAAAATTTTGTTAGTTCGTATGTATCCCTTGCTCATATTTCTATATTTAGATCTTCCAGTGCTAACCCAATCTACACTAATGCAGTCTCCACTAACGACTGATTGGAATCACAAATCAGCCAACTTCCTAAACTTTTGGGCGCTGTGTGCAGTATATTTGAAAAACCCGACATTAACGTTTTTGACTTTAACATCAAAAAATTACCGAAACCACCATTAGATATTGCCAACCACAGCGTTTATCAGTCCCTACAAACGATTCTATCCACTTCTAAGGTTGTGAATTTAATATACTGTCCTATTGTTAAAGAAATGAAAAATCGATTGACTAGTGTTCTTGATCACAGATTTTAAATATACACCGACGCAAGTCCATCCGAATTTGCCGATAACTTGACTAACACGTTTTCACCTGAATATATAGATATGGTTCTGCTGTGCTTTAGGAAGGAAATGGATGTTACTAAGTACTATAAGTCGCAGGAGGAACTGGCTCTCTTGTTTGAGTGTATCCTTTTTAGAGAGCTTGGCATGCCTGAAGTATATGTGGGTTTGTGGTACATAATGCACAAAAACACCGTGTTGCGAGATATAGTCACCAAGTTTAACTTTTTTTGGCAATACCACCTTCCTTATGGCGACTGTTTACAATATGAGTGGTGTCACTCTTGCGATGTTTGACGGTGACGATTCATTGATTTTGGCAACTGTGCACTCAACTACGACTATAATCACCTTTTTGTTCTGTTGTTTAACTTAGAAGTCAAACAAGTCGAGTACACCTCTTTGTATTTTTGTTCTAAATTGTTGTATATCGATAACAGATTCCACTTTTTACCTGACGTGGTGAAAGTTATCTCAAAGTTGGGCAGATCTCATCTGCGAAATTACGACCACGTTGAGCAATATAGAGTTTCAATGCAGGATCTTATAAAAGACTTAAACAATGCAGCACTTATCCCTGATTATTCGGCAGCGTTACAGGAACGGTACCGTTCGATGTACACTGACGTCATTTTCGTTATCGAAGCACTCCTCAAGCTCACGCCCGATTCTGAATCTTTTTTTTCCCATCGTGAAGGTGACGTGCTATGTCTGAGCCCAAGTCAACCGAAGTTAGAATAATGTGTGTTTATTTTATATACGTGCATCATGGACCCGCTCAGTAATCCTGACGTGATTGAGTTCATTGATATGTTGGACAACTATTCCGAAAGTATAACAAGCGGTGCTTGTTTTTTTTTTTTTTTTTTACGGATATGCGCACTCGCAAGGAAATGTCCCATCACGCTCGAGAAGCGGCAAGTGCGCGGAAATGTCGGTGTATGTTGGTCTTGAAACGGTTCAGGTTGTAACCTGCAGGGAAAACCGTCGCAGGGAGTTTATTCCACAGCGATGCTGTTCTCCAGAGATATGAATTCTGATATAATGAGGTTCTTGGTGCCTCTAGTTTGACAGTAAATTCATGATTTTTGAAGATAACAAAAACAAAGTCACAGTCTCATAATTTATTTGATTAGCTACACGTGTTTCGCTCAATAGAGCATCATCAGGCCTAAAATAAAATAAAGTCACTTAACAAATAATAATTGAGGCAAAAACAACAAAAAAGTACCTTGAAATACACACCCTTAACACACATTAATTAAAAATAAACACTAAAAAGCAAGGTTAGGATACAAACACTGAATAAAATAAAAGAACAAAAAACAAACCGCAATTTATTGGAATTGAACCTGCGATACCCAGGATGCCAGCCCAACACCAGACCCAATGCACCAGCGAGATACTGACAATTCAAAGGCGAGAACAATAACCAATGAACCTCAACAAAACTAAGTGGAACTATAAAATTTCTTAAAATCTAATGCAAAAGGAAGAAAGTTTAATAAAGTTATAATGAACTGAAAGTTAATCCGAAAGGTTGTTAAAAATAAGATGAGGCTCAAAATTGAAAACGTCGTTTACACACACGAGAATGGGGCTCTTTTTGGCTCTGGTTATTTCCATCTTCTCTAGAAGATCGAGCTTTCTGCCCTTAGGGCATTCGTGAAGAATTTCGGCGCCATCAGCTGGAGAGAAATTGTGCGTGGTTGTAAGTAAATGGTTCGCAAACGCAGATCTAGTTTCTGTAATGTCTGTATTTCTATTCTTTTCGGCGAAAGCAACATGCTCTTTAATTCGTGTAGAAATTTTTCTCCCTGACTGGCCAATGTAAACTGCGTTACAATCATCACACTTAAGAGAGTACACCCCTGACTTAGAAAAAACGTCAGCCCTGTCTATTACCCTCACTAGCTGTTTCTTTATACTACTAACAGTTTTGAAGGCTATTCTTAGATTAGGAAGCTTGAAAAATTTAGCTAAATTAAGTGAAATGGATCCAAAAAAAGTCATTGATTTGAAAATCTGTTTGTTGTTCTGCTGATGGAGTAGATTAAAGGTCATCTTGTATTTATTAAGAAATTTAAAATATAATTTGTTTATTGGGTGCATTGGGAATCCATTTTTAAAAGCAATGTGTTTAATAATATTAAGTTCCTTATGAAAAGCCTCTTTGGATAGCGGGATATTGAAGAGTCTATAAAAAAGGGAATTAAAGGAGGCAAATTTATAGGAGTGTGGAGAGTTGGAGGAATATTGGATGACGTTGTCAGTAGTGGTGGGCTTACGATAGATTTCAAATAGCAATTTGTTGTTATCTCTTATGATCAGGATGTCCAGGAAAGGTAGCTGTTTATCTTTTTCTTCTTAAATTGTAAAAGAAATATTAGGGTGTAAAGAGTTTACAAAAGTAAGGAAGTTAGCTAGATCCTGATCATTTCCAGTCCATACCATAAAAATGTCGTCTACATATCTTTTATAAACCGTTATAAAGTTTCCGAATCTACCATTGACAATTTTCTCCTCTAGATGATTCATAAATATCTCACTCAAGAGGGGGGAGAGACAAGAGCCCATAGCCAGGCCGTTCACTTGTCTAAAAAATTTGTTATTGAATTGAAAGAAATTCTGATCGAGTACGAGCCTAAGCAGGGCTAAAAGGTCTTCGACAATGAGTCGACTGAGTGATGATTTCAATAGAAGTGTTCTCACCAGATCCACACAATCTGTAGGAGGAATACTGGGGAATAGGTTTTTTACATCCAAAGATATTAGCTTAGAACCCTGCGGTAAGTTAACGTTCTTTAAAAACTTTGTCAAATCTACAGAATTTTTTGTTGAATGGTTGCTTTTAAAACCAGTCACCTGCCTCAAGACAGTATTTAACCATGCGGATAAATTATAGCATGGAGAATTTGTAAATGACACAACCGGTCTTATAGGGAAACCCGTCTTATGGATTTTGGGGAGTCCATAGAGGGTCGGGGTTCTAGGATTCATTGGATATAATTTATCTTTCCTAGTTTCGAAAAATTCGAGAGTTAAACAGCATTTGTCTAGCATTTGTTTCACCTTGGTGAAAAAGCCGTTAGTCGGGTCTTTGTTTATAGTAAGAAAATCATCTGACTCTAAAAAATCTAACACCTTTTTGATATAGTCATTCCTCTTCAGAATCACCAGACAGTTTCCCTTGTCCGCCTTTGATAAAACTAGGTCATTGCTTTTTATTTTGTTTTTTAAGGAGATTAAATGTCTTTTATCAATATTTGAATTGTTGGCTCTAGAACCCCAGTTTGAATTTAAAAAACTTATTATTTTAGCTCGCAAGATATTTTTATTTTGTATATCTGTAGTTTGTAAAATGTTCTCTGCCTCCACGGCCAAAGTTTCCCGCGTATGCAAATCGACTTTCTCAGAACAATTATATTTAAGGTTTAGATTAAGTAAACTTTCTTCCTCCGCTGTAAACACAACGTCAGACAAATTAAATTAATTAAAGAGCATGTTGCTTTCGCCGAAAAGAAAAGAAATACAGACATTACAGAAACTAGATCTGCGTTTGCGAACCATTTACTTACAACCACGCACAATTTCTCTCCAGCTGATGGCGCCGAAATTCTTCACGAATGCCCTAAGGGCAGAAAGCTCGATCTTCTAGAGAATATGGAAATAACCAGAGCCAAAAAGAGCCCCATTCTCGTGTGTGTAAACGACGTTTTCAATTTTGAGCCTCATCTTATTTTTAACAACCTTTCGGATTAACTTTCAGTTCATTATAACTTTATTAAACTTTCTTCCTTTTGCATTAGATTTTAAGAAATTTTATAGTTCCACTTAGTTTTGTTGAGGTTCATTGGTTATTGTTCTCGCCTTTGAATTGTCAGTATCTCGCTGGTGCATTGGGTCTGGTGTTGGGCTGGCATCCTGGGTATCGCAGGTTCAATTCCAATAAATTGCGGTTTGTTTTTTGTTCTTTTATTTTATTCAGTGTTTGTATCCTAACCTTGCTTTTTAGTGTTTATTTTTAATTAATGTGTGTTAAGGGTGTGTATTTCAAGGTACTTTTTTGTTGTTTTTGCCTCAATTATTATTTGTTAAGTGACTTTATTTTATTTTAGGCCTGATGATGCTCTATTGAGCGAAACACGTGTAGCTAATCAAATAAATTATGAGACTGTGACTTTGTTTTTGTTATCTTCAAAAATCTTGCCTTTGGTCTCTTGGATAAAAATGGATGATGCCTTTTTCTTAGTAAATTCATGGTTACCGTCTGTTTGACGGGTTCGCCTGGTAGGTGCTACTCTCGGTGGAATCATACGTGCCAACTCTTCAGAGCATTTTCCGTGATAGTACCTGTAGAAGAGAGATAAATCGCCCACAGATCTGCGATGTTCGAGACCATCCAAGTTACGAGTAAGTGCGGGGTCATTGATCAGCTTGATAGCTCGTTTTTGCACGGTATTCAAAAGCATTAAGGTATGTTTGGGTGCTGCACTCCATATATGTGAGCAGTACTCCATAGTTGGTCGAATCTGGGCTTTGTAGAGTGTCAGCAATTGGCTTGGTGTGTACAGATGTCTTGTACGAAATAGCATCCCCAGCTTTTGGGAGGCCCTTTTAGCAATATCTGCCACGTGACTGTGCCAAGACATGTTGGTCTCTGCAGTAACCCCCAAGATGTTCAACTGACTCTGTAATGTGACAGCACTTCCAGATAG